AGCTGCTCTAATGTTCTCTGTGTTTGTTTGTAATGCCCTCTGTATTCATTATTGTAAAATACTATGTAGGACATGTGGAGGATTTGAAACATAACATGAGCAGTTTCATTTTGAAATACCTCTTAAAGGGAAACATAAAAATGTAAATTGAAAAGATTGCAAGCTTTAATAATGTCTTGAAGGTTAAAACCTACTAAACTACAGGATTTTTAGAGATGGGGAAGGTGCTTAGGAGTGTTGGCATCAAAAGACAAGTTTTCTTGGCTCCACAGTAGTTGACACTACATTGATATCAATGGAAGTAGACCCATTTACAACAGTGGAGGTTCTGCTCCTAGGAATCATGAATTCTGTTTCTCTCTGTGCCACTGACTTACTCTGTGATCTTGGGCAAGGCAATGAAGCCATAATTATCAGAAGTGGCTATGCCTCCATTTTTTAGTACACAGTTAGACAATACATGCTTGATTTTTGGAGGAGCTGAACAACTGCAGATCCCATTAATTCACTTTTCAGCACTTCTGAAAATCCAGCCTTATATATTTTTTTCAAATTGGATGTTCAAAAAATATCAGGCCTCTTAAAAATAAAATTGCCATTACCCTCCGTGTTCTTATTTAAACTAAAAGCTTTCTAGGGCAGGAACTGTCTCTCATGTATTTCTGCCATAATATTCCCCAACCATGTTTTAGGAATGCTGTCACTGAAACTGAAGGGATACATTAGCCTCCCCAATTCATGCAAAGGTCTGCAGCTCCTGGAGTGTGCAGCAGTGGTAGCATTAATGAAGAATTCCATTTTTCATAATGGGGACCTGCTTGTTCCCACAGTAAATGGTTGTTCTCACTTCACTTATTTACCAAATAGAACAGTTTGATATGGGCCAGACTTAAGAGAGCATGTGTAGAAGAACAGTTGACATTTACATATCTTAAATATATGAAATATAAATGAATGGAAAACGTGCTGATGGGAACAAAACCAGATTTTGTTTCTTATGGAATCACTTCACTAGGGATTCTGTCGTTACAGTGAATGTCTCATTTACGGATGTGAAAAATGACATTGTGCTTCTTATGGAGACTTCTATATTCTTTGCATGAGGTTCTGCACCCAGTCTAGTTTGCATATTGAAGAGACATCAGTGATGTTATGGAATACTGTCAGTTCAAAAACAGTAGAAAGGCAGCGTTGGCCAAATTCTACCCTGAAGCAAACCCACTAATATCAGTTATGTTGTGTCCAGGTTGATTTTGGTGCTATGTGTTTGTGTCTTCAGAAGGTTTGTTTAAATGTAAATTGTCCATTGTGGGTTAAATTTCCTGGCTTAAATGACAAAGAAAGACTTTGCACCATTCATGTCCCCCTCACAGTCTTACCATAGGGCTTAGGTTGGACTTACATTGTGCTCAGTGGGTGCATCTACATGTGCACAGTTACTGTGCAGTAACTTAGGTTACCAAGTAGTAACCAAAATTACTGCACAGTAGGGATGCATGTGTACCCATGCATGCCTATACTGTGCAGTATCTATGGCAACTTACACCAATTTGGGCATAAATTTACTGCCTGCATGATGCAGGTAGCAAATTTAGGCCCAAGTAGTTACTGTGCAGTAAGGCATGTGTATGGCACTTTAGTCCGAAGTCAGTCCACACACACAGTGTTACTGCGCTGTAGCGCCTGCATGTGTAAACACCAGCGTAAAACCACTTACTGCAGAGTAACGGCACATGTAGACATGCCCAGTGTGACTGCATGCAGTCTCTGTACAGAACAAATAATTATGATCTTTATGAAATAAATGGTTACGGTGACCTAATGGTGACCCAGGTAATAGGATCAATGACGTATTTCAGTACCTGGATCGGTATCCTAATCCATCCAAGCCAGTAGCAGTGACCCTGCAGTTACCCTCGGAAGATTCTTCAAGGATTTTCTGTGCTGATGGTCTGAAGTTAATTCCTACAAGACAGTGGTCTATGACATGATAAAAAATACTGTTACACTGGAACTCCTCCTCATGCCTCCATTTAGGTTTGGAGCTGCTTGGCAGGGAAGTTTGCCCTGTTTGTTCTCTGGATGGTTTCAGTCCATGTGACAATTACTCCATTCCCTTTTACAAACTCCAGATTCACTTAAATAACATGCCTGAGCCAAATGGTATATTCTAGTTATGATTTCTCTTCCCCTCTACCAAATAATTAGTGATTCTGCTAAAAGAGATAATAATAAAAGCCAAAATGGAGCATGAGAACAAAATTAGCAAATGATATGGCTGGTTTACTGGGAAATATCATCAAAGAAAGATGAATGGGTATAGATAAAAATATCAGTGGTATAGGAAACCAGTCTTGCTTCCATTGAGAAGTACCTGTAGCTTCAATGAGTGTTAGATCCTCCTCCTGTGGCTATTTTCCATCTTGAAGCTTTCATTGTCTGCAGTTGTTGTGCTGTTCTCATTGTTTGTTTATTTTTGGATTATTTAGTTGAAGGGAAAATAATCAGAAATTTTGTAATGTCTGTGGTAAATAACATGCGCTGTACTGATGTCACTTGAGGAAATCAGTGTCAAGAACAGGAAAGGCCAGAAGATGAATGGGTCTCTTACTTCAAAATAGGAAACAGCTTGAAGTTCCTTTGGGGGAATAAATAAATTTCATTCATTAACAATGACATTATTTTGCCACCAGCATAGAATAAGGGTTCTGTTTTCCCACTGATGGACATGTCTCATTCATGCCAACAGTTCTGCCCATTCACGGAGGCAAGTGTATAGCCTTAAATAGTCAAGTTTTGAATAGCATTCTCCTCTGACAGACTATGAGTAGCTGAAAGAGTAATAGGAAAGAAAATGTATTATCTGTGTTCCAGTCTTAAATTCATATTAAATATGTGTCCTTACATCTCTCTAGCCTCACTTTAGTGTATTTCAAAGTAAATCAGTACAAGTCAAGGGCAAGATCTTGCATAGATGAAGCAGAATTCAGTTGTTCACAGTTTGATGCAAAGATCATGGCTACTTAAGTACTTTTGACTATTTTGTGTGGTATTTGTGAATCACACATGCATGAGGCTGTATGTCTGCTTGCTCATTCATATGTATATGTGCAGGATGTTGAGCACACTGTCTCCTGTGTAAAATCACCTCTGTGAAAGGTTACTTAGGAAGGTTGCCCAGATTCCCTTAATTTCCTTCCCCATATAACACCACATCCCTCTTCATTTTCCTTTGGATCCTAAGGCTTCCCACTCTTCCTTCATGCTCTTCAAAAAGTTGACAGTTTCTCTTAGGCCCTGTCATTCCATCTAAATATTGACATTTCCCAGAAACCAGCTTCTTAAGTGAAATAGCCCATTAACTTAACTTGCTAGAGTCATACATCGGTGAACCACAGAGTTGTTTAGTATAACAAGTCAAGCTCCCTGAATGCCCAGTGAAGATTATTTTCTTCTTCAGAATCATGTCTGTGTCCTGTAGTACAGAGTTAACTATTTTACTTCAGAAGAATATGTGAAAAAGTATTTTTAAATAAGGGCGAAATTAAATCTCTGTGTAAGGTACCCTCAACCTCACTATAAGATCCTAATTAACCTTTACAAATCAACAGAGGAACTTGAACCCCCAGTACATTTATAACTGTTGAACACTGTTTTTTTAATAGAAAGGATCCTTTCTTTGTTGCCTGTGGGCATCATCAAGCAGACTCTGAGAAGAGTGCTTTTCACTCTGCATTATTAGAAATAACAATTGATTCATTAAACTCTGTAATTCAGCAGTGCAGAACTTCCATTTATTATCTCATTTGCCTGCAAAGATTATGCCCTGTTCTTAATAATATGTGATTGATAGAAAGCATTTAGGGAACAAAGCCCAGTCATTATCAGGCTGGCTCCCTGGGCTGCCATAATGCTGAATTGCTGCCTGACTGAGGAGCTGTGGTGAATAGGGTCCAAGGTCTTAAGGGAAATAAGGCAGCTTGAGTATTATTTGCCAGCTGGTTGTGATCCAGATCTAATGTAATCATGTGAATGTCCCAGAGGAGAGAGGGCTCTTTGGCATTCTTTACTGTATGATAGCAGGAGTTCACTATCAGCCAAATCCAAGTGCCAATGAAGTCAACAGGCCCTCAGGGCCTGGTGCCCTATTTTTTTAATCAAGTGGCAAAAGTCTGTTGACAGCAGTGGGAGCTGAACTGAACTGTCTAAAGTAGAAACACAAATGACTCCTGGGCACATTGATACTGCTGCTGATTTGTGTGCTAACACTGTTTGGGCATTTTAAAAAGGAAATCACAATACTCATACCCATAAGCAGATTTTAGGTGGGCCTGATTCTGTTCTCAGATATATCAGGTAAGTCCAAAGAGTGGATGGTTTCTGTAACTACATTGAACTCGTCCTGCTGTGAAATGAAAATCCAGTTTGCCTTGATTCTGTGGTCCCTAGGCCTTCCCTTTAAGGGCTGGCAGGGATGGGCTGTAAAGAAAATAACTTGGTGTGCTTCTCATGCATTTTTCGCTAAGAAAACCCTGTATTAAAGAGACTTCTACAGTTTCTCTCCCCCCAAAAAATGTTGCGGGCTTTAGTGTATAAATTGGGAGCTAGTTGGGGCCACATTTTCAGTGGCCTCAAATAAATTTCTGAAGTCTTTTTGAGGTCCTGCCAGTGCAAGAAGCTCTGCACAAGCAGGTCCCAGCACTTGGACAGGATCAGACACAAATATTGTTTGCATCCATAAATTAAGGGGACAAGCAAGGAAAGTTGGTCATTTGTACTAAGAAAGTTTTAAATATATATATTATGAATCCAGTCTCAAGATGTTCTGGCAATTTCTATAGCTGAGTCCTATGTGAAAATGTAAAAATGGAAACTCTGGTGCTTGTTTGAGCATAATTGTACAGATAGGTAACTTGGATTATAGAAGAGACCTTTTTGTTCTGATAATGCTACTGTCTCTCTCTCACTCTCTTCCTTTTTAAAAATCTTTTCTCTCCCAGTTATCCATTTCCCACAGTGTTTAGCAGCTGCAGCAAAAAGGACCTGGAAAACAGCTTGGAAAAAGGAGTGGGGATGTGTCTCTTTAACCTGCCTGAAGTTAAGGAATCATTTGGTGGACAAAAGTGCGGGAATGGCTACGTGGAAGATGGAGAGGAATGTGACTGTGGGGAACCTGATGTAAGACTGCCCCACCTAATATCACTGCTCATCTCCTTGCTGCAGACATTTGGTGGAGAAGGCAGGAGGGCTTGGAAATTAGTTAAAGATGTGAAGGTTAATGTATATAAAACTTGCCCTTCATCCTTTAATTTTCAACTTTAAACGTATTCCAGGCTGTGCTTATCTTACAGCCCCTGTGAACAGCAGCATGCTGAACAGGTGTAAGTGTGTTATGCATGCTATTAGACACACTACCTGTACCTTTTCAGATTAGATCCAAAAAACTTCAGCCAAATTCATAATGGAATTTGCAGCATGGGATTCCCTCTGAGTACTAGTTAATGACTTGAAACCAGACAAAAATAGTTAATATTACCCAGATTTCTCAGGATTCTTTGTATAACATAGACTTGTCTCTTGATATTTCGAGTGACTTCCTTGTATAACCTAAATTTATACCAGAAAGTATGCCTCTCAGCAAAACTGCTTCAGTTTTCATACTGAACATATTTCCCATTTTGGTTACCCTACTAATAATTAGAAATAACCTACCCTATTTTCAAAAACCATGAGCTCTACCATTTCAAAGATCATTCACTTTAATTCTGCATATATTTCAAAGAACAGCTAGAATCAAGGGAGGAGACAGAGAACCAAGAGTAAAATAATGTCACATCACACATCTTTAATTCCTTTGGTTCAGTATTCATTGGTCATGTTGAACTTCTCCCAGATTATCAGAATTAAAAGTATCAGCAGACAAGGTATTTGTCTCCTCTGATAAATATGGCACCACAGAAAAAATAAATGGGGCAGTTAAAACAGCAAAAGATTGCTGTAGCCTTTCCACATAGTATATTGACTTTATACAAACCATAAGCACTTCCTGACAGCTCACTGATTCTTCAGGGTAACAGGGTTGGAGAAGTAGGCTTATCTTCTTATTTAAAGTCAATAGAGTGCAAGTAGCTTGCAAATATCTTTCTAACCCAGTTATCTTTCTCATTTTCACTTTTGAATGTTAGTGACACCTTTTAATGTCAAAGCCACTTAGCGTCAGTAAGCAGTGACTTGATCTGCCTCTTCTTTGTATGTTTTTTCAAGTATCTTAGAAAATCGTGACCCAGGCACAATTAATTTTACCTGGAATCTTCTACTGCAATCTGAGAGACACCAGCAAATCTGTTAGATTAGTAAATGTTTCATTAGGAAACTCATTGAGACCAGTATCAGTAGGTCAATACCAGTTCAGTGCTTTAAAGCCCTAGGCATCATTCACCCTTATATGTGCTGCTAGAGTTTGCTGGGCATGGTAGGTTTTTATTCATTATCAAAGTTAAATATCGCTACAAATATATATGCCTATACTAAGCATTTTGCCCAATAACTTAAATAATTTTATTTTGACTTTATTTGCTTTCCATTGTCCAGAATTAGAGCTTCATTTAGGATCATAGAAAAGTAGGGCTGGAAGAGACTTCACATGGTCATCTAGTTCAGCACTCTATTGACTTTAAACAAGAAACATCCCTGACTAAAATATCCCAGCCAAGTCTAGACTGCTCTTGAAAATTTCCAGGGATGAGGATTCCACAATTCCTCTAGATAGCCAGTTCCAAAGCCTGACCACCCTCATGGTTAGCAAGTTCTTCCTACTCTCCAACCTAAGTCTCCTCTACTGTAGCCTGATGCTGTTGCTCCTAGTCCTGTCCCCTACGACCACAGAGAAATGTCTCTCTCCACTGAGGTATTTGAAAACATAGCACATCAGTCGTCTTGTCTCCGAACTTAAAAAATCGTAGTTTTATTCAGCCTGTCGTCATAAATCGTGCCTTCCAGGCCTCTAATCATTTGCATTGTTTTCTGCTGAACTCTTTCCAATCTGTCCGTATCTTTCTTGAAGTGTGGGGCACAAAACAGGACACAGTGCTCCAGATGAGGCTTCTTCAGTGCTGAAGAGTGGAAGAAACTTTCCCATCTGCAAGAAACACTCCTGTTAATACAACCCAGTATCTTATTGGCCTTTTTCTTTTTTGTAATGAGCACACTGTTGGCTCATATTCAGTACATGGTCCACTGTAACCCCCAGATCCATGCCTACAGTACCACAGTCTAGCCAGTCATTCCACAGTCTATTTGTGCCTGCAGTTATTCGACTCCAAGTACAGGATTTCAAACTTGTGCTTGTTAAAATCCTTTTGATTGATCTCAGACCATTTCTCCACTTAATTTAAGTTATTCTAAATCCTAACCCTACCCTCCAGAGTGTTTGCAACTCCAACCAGATTGGTGTCATACAGACATTTGCTAAGCATGCGCTCAATCCCATGGTTCAAATAATTAATGAAGATGTTAAATAATAGTGGACCTAAGACATACCCCTGGGGAACACCACTTGATACCTCCTCCCTAGAGGATGCAAGATTGAACTATTTATGACTACTCTTTGAGCATGATGATCCAACCAGTCATGTACTGGCCTTACATTATTTTCATTTAGTCTGTATTTTCTTAGCTCATTAATGAGACTGTCATGGGGACAGTGTCAAAAGCCACACTAAACTCAAGGTATATCACATCCACTGTTCTTCCGCCATCCACAGAGCCTGTCACCTTACCATAGAAGAAAATCAAGTTGGTTAGGCATCTCTTGCTCTTAGTGAATCCATGCTGCTTATTCCTGATTTATGTCATGGGTATAAGAAATATGCGCACTACTTGTTTAACAAAGAGCAGATTGGATTTATGGCTCTGTGGGACCCTTAACTAAAACCATAAGATCATTAATCTTTGGCATCCTCAAGAAGCATTGCTCAGCCTATTAACAGTAGCAGTCCCACCCTTGCAGCCTTCCCGCTATAATGACAAAAAGCCAAATCTAGCTCAAGGCTGATGCCAATGGTAAGCCTGCAACATCAACCATTGTAGCCTGTATTAAGATTCCTAGAAAACCTGAGCTATTGAGCTGGCTGCAGAGGTACTATATGTAACACCCACTTCTTCCTTCTCCTTTAAAAGGAAAACATGTTTGAAGGAGATCATAGAAAATATGTGAGGTACGCAAAGATCACTAGAAAAATCAAGAGGTTTGTTGAAGACCATATGCCCTTCAGACAGTGCAGGAAATGGACACACATTGTTTTGTGATAACAAAACATTATGTATCTCAGAAATAACTACCGGTTGCATGATGCTGGACTTGTTGAAGTATGTCTGGCTGAGATGCTATCATAAAAAGACACTAAGAAACAAGAATGCCCGTTTTCCTATCTTCTCCAACAAGCAGTGTATCAAAGTAGCAGCTGGGGTTTGTCAACTCCCATCTGTCCCCCAGCCCCAAACTGTCTTGCTAGCAATTTTGTGTTTTGTTTTTTTTAAACACAGCCGTGATAATTTTCTAGCCCAGGCACAAAACTCGGTTGGCTGCTTTTCTTTATGATAAAAAATGGTTGAGCAAATCGTTAAAATTTTGCAAGGCTGCAGTAACTTTGTTCTTGAGCTTTATCCTGTCCTTGAAGTTTCCATAGTGTTTTCTTTTGATTTCCATGGGACTTTCTTCATGTGACTGGAGGGCAAGATATATCTAGGTTGTGTCCGTTTCCAAGCTGCTTTAGAAGGCTAACATTCATATCTCCCTACTGTATTCTGATTTTCCAAGGTTGCTCATGGGGTGAATGTATAAATGTCAGGCTTTTGTATATGCTTTTTTGTTACTTTTTTTAACGACAGCAGCTGCACAAAAATATTGACTTGGATGGCATGTTGCCTTGAGCACTACTAGAAATAGTCACAGTGACCTCCTCCTGCCTGTTTCTGTGTGGAATTTTACATATACCAGCACAGAATATCTGAGAACACAGAGAAATGCTGACATTTTCTTTTTCATATTTGTGAGTATGGTGATATAACCAGGTAGCCTTATCTTCTGGTTGAAAGGCTCTTTAAAAGCCAGCAGAGTAGCAGTAGGCTCTGAACATCATTCTAACCTAGTTATTTTTCCAGTATTCACTTCAGTGTTAGTGATTCCTTGTTAAGTCAGATTGACTCAACACCGTTGAAAAGCAGTTTTATCTGCTGCTGTTTTTTGTTAGCTCTTAGAGCACTGTGATTCATGTGAAATTGATTTAACTTGCAATTCATGAGTATAATCTCAGAAAGGCAAATCTATTACTTTTGAAAGTTCTTACTGGCTCAGTCTACTGAGAATAAAGTTGTGAAAAACTACTTATAAGAGAAAGTCCACAATCTGATCCACCAGTGTGAACGGGGAATGTATGAGTTAGTCATTATGCAGTTCATGTTTTTCAGAATACCCTGGTATAAGACCCCACTGCACTTTGCACAGCCGTATAAAGTGGCATCATTATCTCTCATTTATAATGCCCACCAGTCCCTTGTGATATAGAGTTCTGGTGAACAACTTTTTTTTTTTAAAGCTGAACGTTAATGGTATCATTTACAGAAGTTCCTAGGTCAAAGCCTCACCCAGGGTAACATTTTTCTGGACTTAGTGCACCTAACTGATTTGCATCAGTGAGGCTTTGGACTTCAGTCATTCCATAAACTGTTATAATATCTTTTTAGTATCCTTGATAGAATAACTAACAATTAGGATAGGTAAGACTTAATTTTTTCTTATAAGGTAGAGCCCAGCAACCTTCTTCAAGCCATGGGCCAGAACAACCTAGCTCTAGTCCAGTCTGGGCTAGGTGGCATCGGCGGGGTGGCTTTTCCAGCACTCCTGCCACAGCATAACAGCTGGGAGCAGCGCCCATGCTGCAACTGCTTCTCCCACTTCTCTCCCCAGCTGCACTCCCTGGCTGCAGAGCAAGTGCAGCTCTAGCTGTGACGGGGATGGTGAGGGGACAGAGATAAGTGGCAGCAGTGCAGGCACTGCATCCAGTTTCCTGGCCCCAGTGAAGCTCCTCACTGCTTAGCCCCAGTGCAGATATGGGCGCAGGCAAAGCCCTGAGACTCTGCAGGCTGAATCTAGTGGCTTCATGGGCCTTATGTTGCCAACCCCTATTGTAATGTATTTGGTTGTATCAGGTATCTTTAGGATCAAGTAGTGTTATCAGTAGTAAAATGCAATTGTATTGACTTAATTAGCATCCTCTACCTGTAATTAGGGAAGGAATTTGGTATTAAGAATTCCTCAGTGTTATACTGCCATTTCCTTTGACTCCAGTGCTGAGAAGTCAGCCCAGCACTGCAGAAACTGCAGAATAGGATAGGTATTCATAAAGCTTAGCAAAGTTCCACATTTTGTAATGTACCGGTTTGTTACCATTACAATTCTTCCTTTTAAAACACTAGTATTTCTCTGTACACCTATGTTGCTTTTACTACAGTTATTTAGAGTCATATATGCTAAGGACAGAAGAGGACCATTATGATTATTTAGTCTAATAGCCTCCTATGTAACACAAGTCACAGGATATCATCCAGGACTTCCTGCCTCAAGCCTATAATTTCTGGCTGAGCTAAAACATGCCTTTGAGCGACATCCACTATTGACAGAAAGCAATAGGGTTAATTCAGTTTTTCTCATTTTCATTTGCTTCTGGCCCAGGAATGTACAAATCGTTGCTGTAATGCTACTACCTGCACTTTGAAACCAGATGCGGTGTGTGCACATGGACTTTGCTGTGAAGACTGCAAGGTGAATTGATAGAAAGGTTTCTCTATTGTGTTGATTGGGCAGAATGTCCTAATCTTCTTAATTTGCTGATCGGTTAGCATCTTTAAGCATTAGGGCACTTCTTTTTTATGTACGCAATTAAAAAAAAACCTTTCAAACAGAGGCATTGAAGACAGAGAGCTAAATCAGGTCTCCTTAATTGTGCCTGCAGTATGTGTGGCTGTTTCAACTTGTGTGAGGAAAACACTTGCATTTGTTCCTATACACAGATTTTTGCAAAAACACATGGCTACCATGCTAGGACAGGCAATTAATATATCTTTTCTCTCTCCCATCTGAGAGGTTCTTGAAGAAGTGAAATACGAAGATAAATAATCATATTAGTCCTATTAAAACTAAAGTGTTTAATGGCGAGTCATAAACAGCAGTAGAGCTACATAGAATCATAGGAAGTTAGAGTTGGGAGGGACCTCAGGGGGTCATCTAGTCCAACCCCCTGCTCAGAGCAGGACCATCCCCAACTAGACAATCCCAGCCAAAGGTCTGTCTAGCTGGGTTTTGAAAACCTCCAAGGATGGAGCTTCCACCACCTCTCTAGGTAACCTGTTCCAGTGTTTTACTACCCTCCTAGTGATAAAATTCTTCCGAATATCTAACCCAAATTTCCCTTGCTGCAACTTGAGACAGTTGCTCCTTGTTCTGTCATCTGCCACTACTGAGAACAGTCCAGCTCCATCCTCTTTCAAACTGCCCTTCAGGGAGTTGAAGGCTGCTATTAAATCCTGAAGACTGTTGTTAGGGGAAGCCAGCTGGTGTCCTGCCACATGCATTAATATTTGCACATCACAAAGCAGCCTTTGAGTATGTGCTAGTAAAGCCTTTCAGCAGGCTGTGGCAAGCGTGTGGCTGAAAGATGAAGAGGAACAAGCCACATGCACTTTGAAAGCTTGCTTCCAAATTTTACTCATTTGCACCATTTACCAGGACCAGTCTTGGAGGACAGTCTACTTCTTGCCTGTGTTGGTGTAATGAAAACATAAGTAGGAAGTACCAGTACATACTCAGAATAGAAAGTTTCCCCAGGTTTAATAATTAAACCACTACAAAATTAACTACTTCTAAGCTCAGATTTGAGCAATGTGAGCCAGTCACTAGCTTCTGGAAGAGGACTTATGTCCTCTTTCCAAATGTCAGAGAACCTTCATGCAGTACACCAAGTAAACTGCATCATTGTCTGTATGATGTCTTAATGGTCAGCTGGTGTGGAACCAAAGAAATAAAATGTTATCATGTCATATCAAATACATCATTGTATACATTTTATGAATTTAAATTACAGCAACTTTTTTTCTTTCTTCAGTTGAAACCAGCAGGGATTTCTTGCAGAGACTCAAGTAATTCCTGTGATCTTCCAGAGTTCTGCAGTGGAGCAAATCCTCACTGTCCAGCTAACGTCTATTTACATGATGGACACCCATGCTACAGAGTAGATGGGTATTGCTACAATGGTATATGTCAGACCCATGAACAACAGTGTATCACCCTCTGGGGGCAAGGTAAGCTCTGCAAACAGGTTCCATAACTGAGAAGCCTGCTTACTATGGAGACTTTGTAAAATAAAATCGCAAGTCTCGTGACCTTTCAAGGATTTATGATAGAATTGTATATAACAGGTGTGTCAAACCACAGCTCTCCTCGCAGGCAGTGGCTGTAGGTGCAGAGGTGAAGAAGGGTCCAGGAGCAGAGATCTGGCAGAGAGGGGGTCTGGCACCTATTGAGGGTTGTGTGTCAGGCCTCACCCCTTCCCACCCTTGAACTTCCAGTAGCTCAACAATTGCACGTTGGGCCAGAGAGAGGCTCTGTTTTTACATGGTTTTTTTGCATTTACTTGTTTCAACACTGGTTCAATATGTTCCCATCTTTTTCCTGTTAAAACACTCCTGACATTGACTGATGTTATCATTAGTTATATTTTGCTTGTTGTAAAAAGAGTGTGTCTGTCTCTTTACGGCTTCTCGATTACTGCTGCTGTTTGTGGTTGACTCTGTCCCTCCACTCACTTGCTACTTTCCAGTTGCCTTTGCAAGCTGCTTGACTGCTTTCACATTCAGGAAAGGCAGTTCCCACTATTCGCTCTCCACTCTGGGCTGGGGCCCAGGGGCATTAGCAATGAGAAGCTGCTTTCTGGCTGTGACTCTGGCCAACCACCATCTTTATCAGGTTTCTTTTTCCTGGTTTTCAGCCCCTGTGTCTTCTTCCTTTCCTCCACCTGTCTCCCTGGCTCTTTTTCTTGCTCCATCTCCACTCCTGGTGCCTATGGGGTTTCTTCCTCCTTCTTCTCCCCCACTTACATGTCTGAGCTTTTTGCAGTTCCCACCTCTTCTGTTTCATCTCCTATTTCCTCTTGCACTCCCTCAGTTACAGAAATTTCATTCCCCCCATCTCTATATCTCTCTTCTGCCATTTCTATCTTGGTCTCGTGCTTCTCTTCTCCCTCACTGCCCCCTTCTGATTCTGGCTGTTCCTTAGAGGGTCTAACCTTGTTTGCAAAGGCCTTTGGATACCTGCGGTACAGATGCCGGGGGACCACATCCCAAAATTCCTAGTCCCAAATCCCAGAGCTCCAGTTGGGGAAAACACTGCAAAAGAACTCAAGAGAAGGGGAGCCAGACCTATCCTGCTTCCTGGGCCTGAACTGCAGATAGGCTTAGCTACCCAACTGGGCTACGACACAAGAACTGCTACATCCACAACAGGGACTGGGCTCCAAATCCTGACCCACGCTTTACAAGACTCTAATCCTGGTGACTTACTCCAGGGCTTAATACCCACCACAGTATTATTCCACCCCAAACCCAGGAAAGCAAAGTGAGGACAAAGAAAGTCACTGCACTTCTCTATTCCCAGGTTTCCCCATCTGTAAAATGGGAATGATAGTGACCTCATTTGTAAAGCACTTTGAGACCTACTGGAGGCAAATGCAGATTTCTCATTTTACCAGAGAAACCTGTGGATTTTGCAGTTTTGTGACAAGCCCTCTGCAGGCTGTCAGCAGGCTGCTCTCTAGGCATGGGGTGCCTGGAGAGCAGCTCCTGCAGGTAAGTTGGCGGGGGGGTGGGAGGGTTGAGACCCTGATAGGGAGGGAATTGAGCAGGGCTGGGGCTGGGACTGCTGCCCAGCTGGGCAGTGCTTGGGGCTTGGGGCTCAGGGCCACAGTGCACAGCTGCAGGGCAGTTCATCCAGGGGGCAGGGCAAGCTCCCTGTCACTGTGTACACTCCTGGGGGGGGTGACCCATGACCCCCAGATCTGTGTGTGGTGCAGGGGCTGTGCACTGCCCACTTCAAGCTTGTGCTCCCCACCATGCTGCCATGCCCCAGGGCCTCCGCAGCCCAGCATGTGCGACCCGGTGCTGCAGGGAACAGCGGAGCCGCACAGGAAGCTGCTTGCTGCTGCCAACTCCACACTGCCTGTGTCACCTGTATGCAACCCCATGGTGCCACCCCCGCTGCAGGCACACAGACAGGGTACGCCTTGCCAGGGCAGCATGGAGTTCGCAGCGACAGGCAGCTTCCTGCATGGCTCTGCTGGTCTTTGCAGCACCGGGTCACACAAGCCAAGATGAGGCCCTGGGGGAGGGCAGCAAGGTGGGAGCCTGCAGCCAGCAGTGCACAACCCCTGCCCATGCACAGATGTGGGGGGCACGGATCCCCCTGCACTCTGGGAGTGCACACTGCGGCGGAGAGCAGCCCCCTCCACCCAAGCCCGCAGCAGGCAAACAGCGGCACGGGGGGAGGCAGGCTCCGCTGTCTTGCAGCAACCAGCCAAGTCCCTGGCCCTGTAGCCCTGGCAGTTGGGAGTCCCCTCTGGAAGGGCTGGGGGAGCAGGAGCTGTGGGTGGGGGATGAGGGGCAAGAGCAGGGATGGGGGAGTTGTGGGGGGAGTGAGGGGCAAGAGCAGGGCTGGGGGGCTGTGGGAAGGGAGTGAGGGGCACCAGCAGGGCTGGGAGGAGGGCTGTGGGCAAGGAGAGAGCGGCACTAGCAGGGTTAAGGGGCTGTGGTGGGCAGCATTCATTTTAATAATGTATTTGGGGGGGTTTATCAGAGAATTTGCACATTTTTATCAGGGAAAACCAGGATCCCTGGTTATGACATCCTCTGTTAGTGATACTGGGACTTTTAATCCCATGGATACAGGGAAGCCTTTTCTTATACAATGACAAAAACTCTTTGTAAAACAGTTTCCTGTGCCATGGGAAGTTACTGAGTTGAACTGTCAATAATTCCTGTCACACAGATAAATCAGCTAAAGGTCAGCTGGCTGAATGGCCAGGCCTGTATTGCCAGCTTCATTTCCTGAGTAGGAGCTTCCTCTGGAAGCCCCAGTGCTCCAGGCTAGTTCTTCCCCTGTCACCAGTAAGGTGCTGCCCAGTATGTGCTCTAATACAAAGTTAATCTGCCATGAGCTACCAGTTAGATTATTTGAAAAGTGTTCAGTGGTCTTTGGTGTGAGTACAGGGTCCAAAATGGACATGAAAAGTTTAGCCAGAATAACTTCATTTGTCTTCAGACTAGTCCCAATAACAAGCCCCCTCCCTCCCCCCATGTTTGCATGATAAAAATGACTATGAGTCCTGCAGCAGCCAGAAATGGACACATGAGAAAGCACTGATGTAAAGTTTTTATGGTGCTGGTAACACTCATCTAGCCCTTCTGTATTTGTGCAGTTGTATTGGTTGCTGCTGCTGCTGCTGCTGCTGCTGCTGCTACATTAAGGGTACTAATTCTACTGCAATCGTGTTAAAGGGATACAGAACAGTTCTTTATCTTATTTTCAGACAATCCTAAAGACAGTTTGATAGACATGTAACCAACCCCTAATTCTGAACTCGCTGACACAAGTGTAAATCAGAAGTACCTTAATTAAAATCCACAGAGCCAGACACGTGATCTATAGCAGGAATCCTGTCTTCAGTGAAAAGCTGCACCTCATTTCTATGGTGTGCAAAGGTCTTCCTAATTGGAGTCTTAAGGGTGGCATTAAACCAAGACCTCTTGCAAAATAGCTATTGTGCATTTCACTACACCTTCAAACAAGACCAGAAAGGTAGTTGCAGGTGGAGTTAAAGAGAACACTGTGAAGATAGTCTTTAAACATTATAGTGTATTCTCATTTTTAAAGCCCAGGCAAAAATCCATTCTGCTGCAAAAATCCAAAGATTTGCCCCCTGTTTCAGTCTGGTATATGTGCCATTTTTTTTTATTCTAAAAGGAGGAAATGCTGTGTTTGAAACTTTTGTTTTTTACATGTCCTGTTCAAAAAAGTCATCTTGCTGTTGATCTGACCTATTGATAGTTAATATGACTGAAGGATATATCAATAGTAACGCAGTTATATATGCCTGCTGTTTTATTGGCATTTTCAGAAGACAGCTAGATATGCAGATACAATTGAAAAGACACAAATTATTGATTTCCTAGGAGTGGGGGTAATGTTTACTTTTAGACTGCTGGCATTTTCTACAGTGACAGGCAAATGAATCTTGGAAGATAGGGAAGGGGAAAGCAGGTGAGTGCATGCATGTATGCCTCTGTGTATAGTCAAGTTGAGATAGAATCATAAAAAATTAGGGTTAGAAGGGACCTCAGGAAGTTATGTAGTTCAACCCCCTGCTCAAAGCAGGACCATCCCCAACTAGATCATCCCAGCCAAGGCTTTGTCTAGTCGGGTCTGAAAAACCTCCAAGGATGGAGATTCCACCATGTCTCTGGGTAACTTGTTCCAATGCTTTTACTACCCTCCTGATGAGAGAGCCAGTCATCTCATCATAGAAGGCAGGCAGGTTGGTCAGGCATGATTTGACCTTGGTGAATCTGTGCTGACTGTTCCTAAGCACCTTTGGCATTTGTAGATATGCTCCGGGAGGTGACGGGGAAGGGGCACTTCAGAGTGGCTCTGAGAGCTGCTCTAATTAAAGTGCCCAGAGCATCATGTATATCAGTGTCCCCGTGCTGAAAAATGGCGACAGTGGTACTTCAACTACAGCTCATTGAACCAGCTTTAGTTAAAGCACTCTCACCGCAATATTTCAGTGCAGGGACCCTGATACACATGACACTGAAGTCTGCTGGAGCACAGTAATTACCATCAGAGCAGGCTCAATTAATCAAGTCTTCTCTGACACATTGTAATTACAACCTGTTGGAGCTGCCTCTGCACATGTATAGGCACCCCTCCTTCTACTCCAAGTGCTTAGAAATGGATTCCCTGGGGACCTACTCCATGATCTTTCCAGGGACTGAGGCTGACTGGTCTGTAGTTCCCTGGATCCTTCTCCCTCCCTTCTGTAAAAATGGGCACTATATTTGTCCTTTTCGAGCAATCCATGATCTCTCCCAATCACCGTGAGTTTTCAAAGATAATGGCCAGTGGTTCTGTAATCATATTGGCCAACTCCTTTAGCACCCTTGGGTGCATTTTGTATGGCCTCATGGACTTGTACACATCCAACTTTTCTAAATAGTCCCTGGGCTTTATTTTTTGCTACTGTTGACTGCTC